TATATATATATATATAAGTCTTTATACCTTTAATTCTAGGTAATATAGACTCTATTATATATATCTTTTAATTTAGATTCTATCTAGTCTTTCCTAATAATCTACCCTTATTTCTTTCTATGCCCGAAGGCTAAGGTCCGAAGACCTATTTATCCGCGCGCGACCCCTTCATGGTCACGTGTCTATGTGACAACATAGTCCCTTATTTAATGCCCCTGGTGTGTACCTACTAATTTTATGGGGACTTTTTCGAGTTGTTACAGTGTCCCCTGCGGCATGCGGTAAAAACGCCAAACATCACCCGAAGAATTCTACATTGGGTCCGAGTCGCAAATCGTGGGACACACGGTCGAACCGTCTAGATTCGACCACCCCAGATATCACTTCTTCCAGATCTGTGGTTCGAATCCCCGCCATTCCGCCCTCCTACACAGACTACCGGGTCCGTGTACGCACGCAAGGGAGCCATCCCACGCGACCGTCAAGATCTATCAATCGAGATTTTCATATTTAAACCATTGGCCTTGTCTTCTCCTCTCTCGTATTTATAATATCCGTGCCGAGGTATAGTTTCGAGGTCGTTTCTTTCTATTGTTTGTCCATAAGCTGGTCTTCGACCGGTTTTGTTTTAATCCCGAGGTTCAAACTATCTACGGTGTCCCCTCCGCCCTCTTCACCGTTCTCACCTCCACACATCTTACCTACTCGAGATCTCTCTGCTTCCTCCTCCCCCCTTTTTTTCTTTTCTTCCTCTGAGCGCCTCTTTGCTACAGCAGCTCTATGACGAAGCAAGTTTTTTGGGTCTTCGTGGAGCCGAAATGAGCTCACCCCGGAATTTTCTCCGCCAGCCATGGGCTCGCCAGCCTTCGGACAACGAACGACCAGGCTGTTTTCAGGCAAAAAGAAAGAAACGATAATAATAATGGGTCGACCTACAGAGTACCGAGTACAATGACACCGGAACAGAGTATACAGTATATTCATCGCCTCGATTGGCACAGTCCAGGTTGTTGCAGAAAATCTTCGGGAACAAGAATTAACCGTCTGTCTCAATACCGCACGTCCTTGCTTAGTACTGCCCGTGTCGCCTTCCAATTCTGTTCTCTCGTCACGTTTCCTACAATATCTATACTACCCTTAAATCTGGCCCCCTTTCTTCCGGACCCGAGCTTCTTCCTACTCATGTTGAACATTGCGCAGGACAGAGAGGGCACAGTGTGTGGAACCCCCGAAACAGCCACATGCACAAGTGTGTACCTTCTGCATGGTGGGAGGGATGGACACGAATACCCACCTTCCGTACTGATACATACGTTGTCTATGGCCAGCAACGGACACACCAGCATAACGAAGCAAAAAGGCACTATCCTGAACGACCTACCCCGTATTCGTACAAAGTATGGATACTTTGTAGTGTACATATCAGGAGCCCCCTTCCCCGCTCGCCCCCCCTCGCGGCTAGACCCTATGCTCGCTCGCTTCTTACTTCGTGCAGGTGTCTCCACGTCCGTCTTGAGAGAGAGACGGCCAAGCAAAAGATCTTGTCCCATCCACCCACCCCAATCCCAGTCCCACCAAGAGTCCAACCCAGTTCTTCATCAGCCTTTATTATTACATACACGTACGTTGTACGGAGTACTGAATATTTCGAGTCCGAGCGCTCGGTCCACACCTCCCTGCCGCCTCCACGTCCACATACTCCAAGCTTCTAACCTGCGTCCACAATTTCAACCCACCCCCCGTTCCTCTCCATATGCACCACTCAGCTTCTGGCTTATTTTCCCGCAACAGGCGGCATGGCTTAATTCCAACGAATCCACAGCCGTTGCACTCCCCGCTAACGCTCCTCAACCCCAAAGTAATTAGTGTAGTTCAAAGATCCCCTTTCCACTCTTTTTTCTCCCACTGCTGTAACGGCCGACGATCCTCTTCACCCACCCATTTTGTGCTTCCGCCCACTCAACCCGTCCGTCCCTCACCTGTCCGCCTCCATCCGTTCCCATTACCCGTGAGCCTACGAAGAAAGGACGACTGTTGGCTCTGCTCGATCCAGCTTCGGTTCGCATAGCCTGCCTGCTTGCTGCTAGCCATGTTATAGAGGCGTTTCGTCAATTCGTGGCATGGCCTTTGGCGGAGCTGAAAGCGACCCAGACGCGAGACCTTGCGGCACCTGCCCTCCCCCTTCCTCCCCCCCCCGGGAACCACGCGATAGCCAGGCGTAGAGTGTGCCTACCCAGGCTTTCGTTGTCGCAAACCAGTTTATTCGTAACCAACAATTCTTCCCTCTCGACAAGGCCTACGTGGCTCGCACGCCTCGACTACTTTCCAGCATTCGTCCTGGTTGTTCATTTGGCCACGAATCATGACAACAATACTTGCGCCGCACCCTGCCGACATGAGGACTGACATGCCTGTCTCCCCAGCCAGCTCGTCCAACATGGCTCCCGGTCATGAAGCGAGAGGTAGTCCGCCACGCGTCATCAAACGGGAAACCAGAGAGGACGGGACAGAGAGAGGCAGGCGGCGCGAACGATCGGACGACAAGGACCTGGACGCTCGTGGTGATGCCGCGAACGGCGAAGATGCCAAGGGGGCCTCATCTCACTCTGATGGACCCTCGCGCAAAAGAAGAAGAAGCAGAAAAGGGTTGGATAAGAAATTTGAATGTCCTCACGAGGGCTGCGGGAAGAGCTATTCCCGTGCCGAGCACCTGTAAGTGTCGAGACACAAAAAATAACCTCAAAAGCGAGGACAAGTGGGTCGTTCGAGGGAGGGACAGGTGCAATCTGACACGGCATTGTATCAATCTAGCTACCGTCATCAACTCAACCACACCCCGAAGCAGATCTATTCTTGCGACTTTCCAGATTGCAATCGCACTTTTGTTCGTCTGGATCTGTGCAACCGCCACAGAGATCGCCATACCGCAAAGGGGTCTATCCTCGGCCGCAAAGATTCCACCGTCAGCCATGCATCGCCTACTACCGACCGCGCCCCTTTCGCAGCGCCGGGATCTGCATCTCCTGAGGCTAACCGGCCCGGCACAGGCTACCACAATGCTCGGCCTGCACCCATGCAGTATCAGCAGAAGGACGCCGGTGGTAGTCCCTACACACAGCATGCCCATACGCCTCCGCCATATGCAGCGATGACGACCCATTCGAACGGCATGGACGGGTTCATGCAACACGAGAATACCTACGGAAATATGCAAAGTCATTCAAGTTCCCAATCCGCCTCTGGGCCGTCCCGTCCCACGGTCCAGACAAGCGGACCGTACATGTCTCCAGTTTCTAACCAGCACACCTATCAGAATCAGCATCACAATACCACTCCGCAGTCGACGTTCGTGAGCCAGCAGAACTTCCCTCCGTTCAACCTACCCCCTTCGGAGTTCTCTAGTAGCACCGGAAACCTGAACCGTGATAGCGGGCAGCAGTACGCCCCCTCGACGCCTGCCGAATATACCGACCAGGCGCCGCACCAGTCCGGCGAGATGATGCTATTGGATCAGATGTCCATGCCCGGCACGATTCCTGTCTTTGGCAGCGATGGCGTTCTGAGCAAATCTCCTCATATTGCCATCCCCGAAGATTTTGTGGCATACCTGTTTAATACGCAGCAAGGGGACGGGTCACCTATTCCTGGCCAGATGCTACCTCCGGGGTACGGCAGCAAGTAAGTTTATATTCCCTGTCCTAAGATGGATGTCCTTTGTTCGCTTTTGGGTCCTTTGGACCACTGGCGGCGAATTACTTTCCTGTTTTTTTTTTGCCCTCTCATTTTCTTGGAGCCATGGCTAACGGTGCAAAGTTATAGCGATTACTCCACCCAGTACAGTGTTCCTTACCTTGGGACTGATAGCAGCGCCATGGGATATTTCCCAAGTGGCCCTCACCAGGTCATGGCGGTCACCAACCTGCTCGACCAAAATCTTCCGGAAGCGACCATCTCAGAAGAAAAGAGTCAAGAAATCTACGATCTCATCAACCAGAGGTTCGACGACACGGACCAGGCACCAGCGCTTCGACAACGAGAAAACATATTGGAAGGAGACCGCTCTGATAGCAATCATATGCTGAGCAAGAGGATGATGCAAGCATACATTGGGTCGTACTGGGTGCACTTCAGCGACCAGGTGCCGATTCTCCACAAGCCGACCTTCTCCCCCGACCGAACACCGAATCTGCTTCTGCTAGCCATGATGACGATCGGGGCCTCGTGCTTGGACAAGACACACGGACAGCAGATCACGAAGGCCGGTGCGCAGCTTTCCAACTTCTTGGCTTGGCATATCAGGTGGGAGATCTTCATGGACGTGAACTTCCGGCCGCCGGCGAAACTCTGGGTATTCCAGACACTGTTGCTTCTTGAGCTGTACGAGAAGATGTATTCGACTAGAGAGCTGCACGAACGCGCACATATCCACCACGCCACGACTATTACCCTAATGCGCCGCGGCAGGTCGCTCATTGGAAAGTCGGCATTAGACACGCCTCCCAACCCGCGAGACGATAAGACGAACGGATCCCGCCAATCCTCCACGTCCACGAGCGCGCATACGCCAGACGAGTGGTGGAGCAACTGGATTACCAACGAGGCCACGCGCCGGTGCGCTTTCGCGGCGTTCGTGATCGACTCGATTCATGCGACCATGTTCGGCCACTCGACGGTGATGGTGACGCACGAGATGCGGCTACCGCTGCCATGCGACGAATCATTGTGGAAAGCCACGAGCGGACAAGAAGTGGCAAGGCTCGAGTCGAACCTGCATTCCAACGGGGTCAAGCCGGTCTCTTTCCTAGAAGGCCTGAAGCGAACGCTGAGCCACCAGGAAGTGCAGACCAACTCGTTCGGTCGGACGATCCTCATGGCGGGACTCCTGAGCGTCAGCTGGCACATGAACCAGAGAGATCTCCAGGTCAACGTGCTGGGAGGCGGCGTGTCACAGGCACTAGGCGGACGCGACAAGTGGCGCGGGACGCTGACACGGGCCTTCGATGCGTGGAAGAAAGACTTTGACAAATCGCTACAGCGGAGCGAGGGCTCTGCGGATCCGTACCGGTTCGATCTGGCGAGAAAGAACGAGGCGAACGTGGTGTTCGAGAGCCGGACGGTGCTCCACCATCTTGCGCACATGGCGATGCACGTCGACATTGTCGACTGCCAAATTTTCGCCCGGGCGAAGCGGTTGCTGGGACGCGCCATCGGCCCGCAGGACCTCAACAGCGCGCAAAGACGGATGCGGGACTCGTGGGCGCCGTCAGCCAAGGCACGGGATGCGACGTGGTACGCGCTCCGGTTTCTCTGCTCGGTGCTCATGCCGGACGACGAGGGAGGGTCGCCGGGCTCGAATGGATACAGCAATGAGCTCCCGTACATGGCACGGGATGACGTGCTGCTCAACAGGCCGTGGGTGCTCTACTTTGCGGCGCTCGTTGTTTGGTGCTACGGGTTCGCTCTCGAAGGGCCGTGTCCGGGTGCGCCTGTCCCGACGACACAGCACGAAAAGCTGCGGCTCATGCGCGAGTACCTGATCGAGTACGGCAGCGCGGAGACTCCTGAGCACCTTAAGAACAAGAAAGGGATCAACGCGAACACGGCGTTGCTCATGGTGCTGAAGGACGGGTTTGAGACGACGCGCTGGGAGCTCCTCCACGAGGGAGCGACCCTCATTAGCAACTGTATTCATCTCAACGCCGGGGCAACGGTGTAGAGCATTTCTCCTAAGGGATGAGAGCAGCGACCAGTTGGCTTTACTTGGTGATTCGGGAGAGACAGAAAGGGATTGGGAACAGAGCTCAGGGCGCCGACTGCCGGGGGGGGGGCTGCTCTCTCTCTAAATTTTGAACGTCATGACTCACCACGACGGGGATATTCAAGGCATGGACGATTATTATATGGGATTCGCGCGGCTGGGTGAAAGAGAGAGAGAGAGAGAGGGTGAGAGAGAGAGGGTGAAGGGAAAGACCATGAGGCGAAAGAGAGGAAAGAGGAAGAAGACGGGTGCGGGAGAGGGAAGGAGAGAAGGAACGGATGTACATGAGAGCGAGGGGGCTGCATTCGGAATGCAGACCCCGTGATGAGTTTTTGGCGGTCTGTTGTGTACTGCCATGGTTTGTAACTATATTTCTCGTATATACCCTATCGCATCTGACGAAATAACACGATTTGTGAAGGAGACGAATAAAAGGCAGCAGTCGGGATTCCAAGGGGTGTGAGTGAGCGAAAATCTACGAAGTACTAAAGTACAGTATTAACTCCGATGACTCCGATGGAAGTGGAGGTCGCTTCGATTAATAATCCTGCGGGGCCTGCCAACGTACCTACCGTACTCTACTCGGGAGGTGTTTCCCTATTTCCCATTTCCCCAACTCACCTCCGACCGATGATATCGACCAACACTCATCACAATCATCACAATCATCTCACTTCCATCAGACGTCTAACGCTTTCGTCAAGTCATCCGTCAATGTAAACATGTCTGAAACGACGTGTCTTACTCTGCTACCAGCAGAAATCCTCCATAATATTCTCCAATGGGTCGACCCGCGGGATCTGGGCCGGTTGCCCCGCGTCAGTCGCTTCATGCGAGACTATATCCGCAGCAATCGTAAACTATGGAAAGATGCCTACTTGTATAATCTGGTATGTCATCAGGATGCCTTTATCTCTAGTTCTATTTCTATATTTTTCTCCTTCCTTCTTCTTCTTCTTCTTCTTCTTACATCGCCCCCACCGTCGTTCCGCATCCCTGGAACGCTTGCCTTGTCTAACAGAACGCACCAGGACGCACCTGAACGAGATATAGACTGGGAGCAGGAGCTTCGCGATGTTGTCCGACTACAACTCATCTGCGCTGCCCCCAGCCCTAACCGCTCGGACAACGAGAGGGAGCTCCTCTTCGTCCACAACGCCGTCACCAGGCTCCTTCGCCACGCATCCCCCACCGGAGGACCCGCGGCCCCTCGCATGCCCACGCACTCCGCCTCGCGCAATGCGAGCCTGCTAGCCCGGCTCTTCCGAGACGAAAACGCCCGCACCGCCTTCTTCACCCGGTCTTTCCTCTACCGCCGTTCGCGGGGGCCGAGCATTCTCAGTTTCGCGGAATGCAACACCCCCGTGCAGCAGGCGAGCGCGCAGCTGCACTGTCTCTGGGGGCGCCCCCTCCTCAACTCGGGCCGCACGCGCAGGTCTCGGATGCATCCTTTTGCGCTCTCCAAGGTGTACGACCTGCGCGAGTACACCGTGCGCACGCGCTGGGGCCCGTTCATGGATGATGGCTCCGACCGGGTGGACTGGGAGAAGATGGAGGCCATCATGCTGGTGCTTGGGAGTAACATCAACCAGGTCCAGGCTAGTTCACCGGCTTTTCTCAGCATGTGGGATTCTCCTTTTGCGGGGTCTTGGGCTGGTAGCTGGATTCCGACGCCCGGGCGGAAGCTGAGTGGTTTGGACTTGCAGGATCCTTATGGGATTTCTGGGACGTGGTTGAGGGTGAGCTATTCCCCTCCTTGTTTTTTTTTTTCGGGTTTTCGGTGGGGTTGGGGGACTCACTCCCTACCTATCTGCACCGCTTCATACACTAATACTGGGATTGCTAGGTTGTCTGTTTCATCGACTACAACGACTTCTTTGCCTTCAATTTTCTCGCCTCTCAGCGTGTCCCTGATGGTTATCCTTGTCCCGCTCTGGAGACTGGCGAGGCCACCCGTCTCATCCTCATGAAACTTCACGTCACATCCATCGAGCCCCCTGGAGAAGAAGATGGCCAGGGTCTCCCTGTGGTTCACTTTCGTGGCATCTCGCGGTCCCTCCATAACTCCTGGGACAACAACGCCGATTCGGACTTGCGAGGTGGGTCCCCCCTTTCCTCCCCCCTTTTTTTCTTTTTTCTTTTTTTTCTTTTTCCAAAAGAAAAACAAAATCATCGCCTGCCCCTGGTGCTTTTTTGCTGTCACACCGTCAAGAGGTTTTCTTTTTTGTTTGTCCATCGACGCTAATTTATTCACATAGGAACATGTCGACTGACTCGGGAGGGCGATGTCCGGTGGACCACCTTCTCTATCTTCGACGGCGAGGAACGCTGGCGGAGCGAGAGCGTCCAGGTTGGTGGAGTTAAGTCTGCCCGAGGGGTCCTGGGCAACTGGTTTGACGTGTATGTGTGCACAAACTTCCTCCCCAACCCCTCATCCGTTCCTTATATCTCCATGCTATCCTCACACGTAGACGTCACAGAAACTATGACCAGCACGGCCCCGCGGGTCCCACGGCGTTCTGGAAGCTGAACGACCCGCGGCCGTCCAAAGACAACGAGAGTGAGAACGACGAGGAGTTGCTAGTCGAAGACTTTTTGCACGTCATCGACAGTTTTAATTCGGACTTTGGCAGTGACGAGGAGTATGACGGGGACTACATCGTCGGCGAGTGGGGCGAGGACGACGAAGACGAGGAGATCGATGACGAAGAGGAAAGGGAGGCCATGGAGCACGAAATCGAGGCCTTGAACGACCCAAGTGTGGACATGACTGTGATTTTTAACCTTGGCCAAGGTGGTCCAGTTGGTGATAACCAGCCTCAGGGACCGGGGAACGGGCAAGGCCAGAGTTAAGGATGTGTGGGCCACGAGTTGGTGCTCTTTCAGCGACGGAAACAGGCGTAATGGGCGAATGGTTCCTAAATTGATCAATGTCCGATTACGATGCTACTCGACTCCAAGTAATATATACTCGATTCAGGGCTTTGATAGAGTGCGGAATCTGGACAGCAAAGGGATGAAACAAGCAATCTGTATTGGTTCCAGTAAATAGTATCGTCCCAAAGGCTCCTATAGGCTATTCGGACTCCTATTCCTGAAAGTTCTCAAATTACCATCCTCCCTCCGCACCCGCCTTGACCCCTCCTTCTCTCCTTTTCTCCTTCTCAAGCCTTTGCAATGTGAGAGAGCAGCTCGATGACGGTTCGGCTGTAGGCCCATTCATTGTCATACCAAGCAATGAGCTTCACAAACTTGTCGTTGAGTGAAAGTCCGGCGCCGGCATCGAAGACGCAGGGGATGTCGTGCCCATTCATGTCCATCGACACCACCGCGTCCTCTGTGTAGCCGATGACTCCTACAGCGAAGTGTTAGCAGGGGAAAAGGGGGGAAAGAAAAGAAAAGAAAAGAAAAGAAAAGAAAAGAAAAGAAAAGAAAAGAAAAGAAAAGAAAAGAAAAGAAAAAGGAGAAAAGGGGGAAGGTACCCTTCATAGGCCCCTCAGAGGCAGCTTTGATGGTCTTCTTGATATCGTCATACGAGGCAGGCTTCTCCAGGCAGCATGTCAGGTCGACAACCGACACATTAGGCGTAGGCACGCGCATGGCCATGCCGGTCAGCTTCCCGTCCAGAGCGGGAATGACCTTCCCGACGGCCTTGGCGGCCCCGGTACTGCTGGGGATGATATTCTGGGCGGCGCCGCGGCCGCCGCGCCAGTCCCTGGCCGAAGGCCCGTCGACGGTCTTCTGGGTCGCCGTGTAGGAGTGGATGGTGGTCATGAGGCCCTGGGAGATGCCGAACTTGTCGTGGATGACCTTGGCCAGCGGGGCGAGGCAGTTGGTGGTGCAGGAGGCGTTGGAGACGACGTCGGCGCCGTCGTAGGTCTTCTCGTTGACGCCGACGACGTACATCGGGGCGTCGGGCGAGGGGGCGGTGATGACGACCTTTTGCGGGCCGCCGCTGTCCTTCTTCTGCACGTGGGCTTTCGCCTTGTCGACGCTCTTGAAGACGCCGGTCGCCTCGATGATGTACTTTGCGCCCGACTTGTCCCACGGGATCGAGGCCGGCGACGAGTCTTGGTAGAAGTCTATTTTCTTCCCGTTCACTTCGAGGCTGGAGGCGTCTTTTCCTGGTTTGATGTCGCCCTTGAAGCGGCCGTGGGTGGAATCGTAATTCAGGAGGTAAGCCTGCCCGACCGGACAAAGGGGGGTGAAGTTGTCAGCATGATCAGACCTTATACTACCTTACTCTGAATGAGGACGGGACGGGAAACCCACGGCATATTTCGCATCGATGAAGGGATCGTTCACAGCGACGACTTCGATTTCTGGGTGATCGACTGCCACGCGGAAGACGAGGCGCCCAATTCGGCCAAAGCCGTTAATTCCAACCTTCAGGGGACTCGTGTTGCTCATGGTGGGATGGGTTGATACTGGTCGCACTTGTGAGATGAAAATCGAGCTGTTTCTTCTTGACTAAATGATATATATATATACGGAACCTTGTGGACTTGAAGCAACAGCCGCAGCTGATATCAAGTCATTCTGGGGCTCGTGTCTCGTTATATACTCTATTTCCTTGGGTGAGCCGACCAAACCCGCTCAAACTCAATAATATCAGCTCCATATTCTCCCCTCCTGGGCTACACGAAATGCTTATAGAAACGTGTGATCATAGAAGTTCTCCGAGTTCCCTCGTAGATGTATGATGGCGATTGTGGTGATGGGTGGAAGTGTGACGTTGCTCTGCGTCAACTGAGGGAAGCCGGCCCCCTTTCTTTTCACGTATACCCGTCATCGTTCAACCCCTTTTTTTCTCCCAAGGTAGTCACTACACAAGTCGTACGCACAACGGAATGGGCTCAGGGGTACATGGGGTCTGTATTACCTACCAGGCACATACCTTATAGAACAACCTCGGTGGTACCCTAGCGGAGAGTGTGCTAGGGGGACCGGTTAGCTGAGGGAAACACGCAGTCGATACTCGAGGCAGGCTTGCTCTTTAGTACCTTAGTGGTGCATCGTTGTGAAAGAGAGAAATACATCAAATCTGCATCAATCAATGCCTTACGTGACGAGATGAGAGCGATTCCCAGTGTCGGTTAGACGACAAGTATTGGTGACCGCGACTCAAGTTGTTTGGTCGACCAACCCTCCGGCGAAGGGTAGACGGATAGACAAAGCGGTTTACTCTGGAGCCATGCACCGTAGCGTCTGTCACCGAGGCCGGTCTAAGGCTTATTATAAGTTATAAGTACCAAATACGGACTTCGCAGTAGTGTAAGGATGAGAAAAGTGGAGAGGACGCGGGTGACTCGGGACTTACAGATGGATCCGCACGGCCGATGTCCGACCCAAACGCCGGGTCCGAGGCCGACCAGGAACGGAATGAAAGTCATGTTCTTATACCACTACCCAGATACTGGTCAAGGACCCATTCAAAACCCCACTCAATTTCAATGAGATTGACAACTGGTTCTGGTTCCTTTAGGGGATTCGAAAAGCGGAAGACTAGCCGAGCAAACTTAAAGGGTCAATGCCGAGCTCCAGAAACGCCGAGTTGTTCCCCCATCACCATGACGTGGACGTGGACGCGAGAATCAAGGCGGGACGGACCCATGAGTGTGGAAGCCCGATCCATGGCCCGGCCATTCAGTCCTCTTTAACAGCCGACTGGTTCAATCTTTATTCTTACATTGCTCAATCCCGACACGACCCCAATATAATTCATTCGATATTCTGAGGATAGAGCTTTAAGACCTCGACCGAAATTGAATGCTTTTTGCAAAAGTCCCGTCTCATTTTTATTCAGACGCAAGACTGATCTTGAGTGGGAGAGACCAGAAACTGGACGTCCGAGAACATCTCCCTCCACATCAATCACAACGTGCGATCAAAACATGGCGGTGAGTTCCTCGGCAGAGACGAGAGACAGCACGAATCGACCCTTCGAAGAACTCCCTGGCTAATGGAAACCACCAGACACAGCAGCCCGTTAAAGTCGCCATTATAGGCGCGGGGTATGTGGGGGCAACGACGGTCTACGCGCTGCTCCTAAGCCGTGCGGCCGCCGAGATCGTCCTCGTCGACATAGACGAGGACCGCGCCCGAGGTGAAGCCATGGACCTAGCCCACGCGGCGCCCTTCTCACATCAAACCCGGGTCTGGAGCGGGCAGTACGAAGACTGCGCCGGCGCGACCGTCATCATCCTCACAGCCGGCGCGAACCAGAAACCGGGCCAGACGCGGACCCAGCTCGCCGAGACCAACTACAACATCTTCAGGGAGATCGTGCCCCGCGTCGCCCGCCACGCCTCGAGCGAAGCCGTCCTCGTCGTCTCCGCCAACCCGGTCGACGTGCTCACCCACGCCGCCGTCACGTTCTCCGGCTTCCCGCCCCACAGGGTCGTCGGCTCCGGCACTTCGCTCGACTCGGCCCGCTTCGCGTCCGAGCTGGGACGACGTCTCCAGATCGACGCCGCGAGTATCCATGCCATCATTATCGGCGAGCACGGCGACGCGGAGATCCCCGTCTGGTCCCTCGCCACCGTGTCCGGTATGCATATCCGCGACTACTGCAGGCAGGCCGACCTGGACTTTGGCGACGAGGCCATGGAGCGCTGCTTCGAAGAGACGAAGCAGGCGGCCGGGCGCATCATAGGGCTCAAGGGCGCAACGGGGTACGGCATCGCCGCGGAATTGTTGCGTATTGTGCAGGCTATCGTGCGGAACGAGAATACCCTGCTGCCCGTCTCGTGTGTCGGGTCGTACGCCGGCGTCGACGACGTCGCCCTCAGCGTTCCCCGGAAGGTGAACCGTGACGGATGTCGCGACGCCGTGCCTCTGCTTCTGAATGAGGAGGAACAGAAGGGTCTCGGAGAATCTGCGCAGAAACTGAAGGGCATCATCGATTCCCTTCAGTCATGAATCAAGGCGGCGGATAAAGGGCAGACACCACTCGTTGGTGGTCTGTAAAGCTCTCGGATGCAACTCTCCACCTTAACACGTCGCCAATATAAGGTACTTCATAAGACCTCTGTTCGTCAGTTCTGCCCGAGGCGCGGAGCTACCGCCGGCCATTGTTGGATATAATTGTTGCAGATGAGACTCTCGATTATCCTTGTTTTTATTGAAGGGGGTCAAATTGATGTGGAATAAATGATTACAGGGGGACATGCTTCGGAGTAATTACTGCGCAATTGTTCGGACTCTGTCGGTAGATAGTTATTCCGGTTCCGGCGAGGGGAGGGACTTTCTTCTAGCCGGTCCGACAGCAATTTCGGTGACGTAGTCGTTGACTTCGACGAAGCCCAGCCATCAACCTGTTGTATCACCTCAACAAATACCCGTCGTGTCTCCAGCCAACATGGTCAAAAGGCCCTGCTATCCAAATGCTAATATCACGCCGAAATGAAGTGAAGAACATATCATGTCAGATTTTCTATCACATTGGCTCGAAGAACACACTGCGGTACCGCCGGAAGATTTATGCCGAACGTCGGTGTCCGGATTTTCAGGGGCTGTCAGCTGTCCTTCCATGTTCCGTTATGCTGCTTTTTTGCTGATGAAATATCTGGTCCGAAAATCTTAAGAGAGGAGAAATCCATCCAGGTACTAACGACTCCGTATGTACGAAGTAAGAACGTTCGGACGTGATGATATCATCACCTGTCATCGTGCTGCCCTATCCACTGATTGGTCTTGCTTTTCTCAAACAAATGATGATGTCGATGATGCCATTCATGGTCTCGCCTTTCACACGGGCATACCTACCAGCCAGTCTCTATTCGACAATGATGGATCATCGACCTCCACTAACATCTGCTTCGAGAGATGACGGAAGAAGGTACGATGTATGTAGTGCAAGGTAGGGTAGGGGCAATCCGTGTTATGTATAAGGCAAGGAACGCATCTAATGGAAAGGCCAACGACACCGAATTCTTTTCTTTTTCATATCTCCACTCAAGGTTGAAATCGATTTTAATGCTCACCCGAATTGCAGCTCGCCGACTAACACTTCAACCAACTTCCATTCGATCATTAGCCAACACATCACGAACCAAGTTTGTAGCCCCGTTCCACGTAACAGCCAAAATGTCCGCGGAAAGTGGTCAGTTCAAGCCCGTCTCGGAGAAGCAGGCCCAGAATCTGCCCGGGTAAGCTCCTCTCTCTAGTTCATCACGCCACGAGGTTTAGGACCATGGTCTCCTTGTTCAATGAACTAACTCTGCGATCATTAGGTCGGAGCAAGCCATGCAGCCCAAGAGCGAACCCAGCAAACTCGAAGGCAAGGACCAGCTCCATGAATATCGAGCCGCTGGCAAGCTGGAAGGATCCAAGGCGCTTATCACCGGCGGAGAGTAAGTTCAATGTGCACCCCGGTACTCGTACCAGACCTGAGTCTCTAATACTTCGTCCTTTCCCCCGCCCCTCACAGCTCTGGAATTGGACGGTCTGTCGCTGTCTTGTTTGCCCGCGAGGGCGCAGATGTGAGCATCGTCTACCTCCCGGAGGAACAAGAAGACGCCGAAGAGACCAAGAAGATGGTGGAGAACGAAGGCCGCAAGTGCCTACTCATCTCCGGCGACCTCATGGACAATGAGACATGTCATAAGGCCGTCCAGAAGCATGTTGAAACCTTTGGAAAGATCCACGTTCTCGTCAACAATGCCGGCAAGCAGATTATGTGCCCTGATTTCAAGGAGATCGATCTCGCCAATGTTGAGAGCACCTTCCGTAGCAACATCCTGCAGATGTTTGCCATTACAAAACATGCGCTCCACCACATGGAGAGAGGCGGCTCGTGAGTCCACACCTTGCTTTCATTCAGGACATGACGCTTCGAAGAGAAACTCCCTTTGTGCTGATCGACTTCTATCCGTTTTGCAGTATCATCAATACCACGTCCACAGTGGCTTTCCGGGGCACGGCTACCATGGTAGACTACGCTGCCACCAAGGGCGCCATCACATCCTTCACCCGATCGCTCGCCAAGCAGTTGGTATCCAAGGGTATCAGGGTCAACGCCGTCGCCCCGGGTCCCGTCCACACTCCGCTCCAGCCGGCATCCCGGCCTGCGGAGCAGATGGAGGGATTCGGCGAGCAATCGCAGCTCGGCCGTGTTGGTCAGCCGAGCGAGATCGCACCCAGCTACGTCTTCCTTGCCAGCAAGGACTCGACGCTGTACTACGGACAGGTTCTTCATGCCTATCCGCTGGGAGACTAAACGCGATGCAGGGACGGAGAGAGGGTGAATTAAGCAATGTTTATCCAGCTGCCAAACATAGCTAACTAATGGGATGTATTGGTCAAGACTGATATTAACTACCAGGTAGGAAGCAACTCTGAAATGATGACTCCCTGCGTGTATTTCCGTAGCTTGGAACTCCCAGACGGAACTGGAAATGAGAGTAGCAAGCCGGATACTACTCCAAATCACATCGCGATCGTTACCCCACCGGTGACCTAATGCTGATATCGTTTGCGTAACAACGGACATATTAGGCCGTCCCATTATGAGTGCCGCGTCCAGAGCTAAAAGCTACATTCACCTTCAGGTATACTTGACCCCAACCCTTTATGGCAGATCATATGGGTAACTTGGCTTTCTTCACCCCCTTCATCACAAATTCCCAACATGGCAGGCGCCAGGCGGCAACGACAACGAGTCCTACAACAAGAAAGACGCGATGAGCCAGGCACACACGAACCGGGTCGATATGAGCGCCGTCTCCAATAAGGCAACACACGGCTCCGCAAGCATCGATTCAAGTAATTACGGCGGCGGAGGAAGCGAGATGTTCAACTGCCCGGAGTCGGTCGCTTACACCGAGCACATCGACTACCCGACTTCGACGGGCGTGAGACATCATGAAGAGCAGCTTAGTTCCACCGGGACCTACCAAAGCAAGGATGTCGACAAGAGGAACGATGGGAGTGAACATATTCACCGAGTTTATGATAACCCCAACACGGATACACGGGTCGAGCGGGACATTGAACGAAGGGGGGATGGGTCCATTACGCATGTCCACAAGATGTATAGGAACGCAACTACCGGTGATGGGTTGTGAAGAGCTGTAAATGGGGTACCGGGGGCGAACGCACCGGGATATCTGATGCTCTAGGTGTAGGCATGCCGGATGCCAGAAGACGGAGAAACTTGGGACTGGAGACGACGCATGTAGATCTCCCGCGGGGCTGTCACTCCGAATATGGATAGATTGAAAATAAGACCCTACCTGGTAATTTACACGTGTTACCTACTCATCATCCGCAGATATTTCCACCGCGCCTCCACCCCGCCCCGGATAATGCGACACTGGCCATGCCGACAATGGCAGGTTACCATGGTTGAGATGTTGATCACCTCCTTGTGAAGCAGGGACTGACGAAGCTTTTTCATTTGTGGAGAAACAAAGCTCAGCTGGAGAAGTGCTCCAGTCCGCGCGGGAGGAGAAACAGCGGAATGAAGCTTCCGCTGGACTCTGCTTTTTGCTACATATATGTCTGGAATCGCGTATACCTTTGAGATCATCTTGAAGACTTGACGAGTCCAGAATATCAAACATAAGATAGAGTTATTCATACCGGCGCGTTAATCTGTTCTGAAGACTATTCCATCGGCACCTTGCCCAAGACCATCAGTCGAGAAGCTTTGTCATAGGAAGCCGAAGTCTCGCAGGGGCTCGTCCCCCCACCGAGTCGCAACTAAGGAGACTTCGGCACATTCTTGTATTAGATTCCTTTTCGACAAATCAAATCAACCCATCTTCGTTTTTCCATCAAGATGTTCCAGAAGCTCGTTTTGCTCGGGGCGGTAGTCAGTGGAGCCTGGGGTCATGCAGTTATGACGAACCCAAGGGCTCGCAGGGTGTGTACAAGACAGCTTATACCGTCACCGAACGACTAGAGCGCGGTGAGTACATATGGCAAGACCCTCAACCGTCGACCGTGTGGCTGGGGCAAGATGGCTCATTTTTTTGATTTTCTTTTCCCCCCTTCTCGTTTCTTCTAGACATCACGGGGCCTGTCGAGAATGCAATGCAATGGGCCGATGACGATTATAACTGCAACGCATATCTCTGCCGGGGGTACCAATTCGAGGATAACTCGGACAATGTCCATGTCCATGTCCTGTCGGCTGGTGACGTGATAGACATCAAGATCGATCTTGTCGCCGGACATCGACCCGGCTACTCGGTGAGTTTTCATTTGCTTCCCTTTCAACGGCCTCCTCCCCCCTCCCACCCAAAAATAAAAAAAAAAAAAAATTACAAAAAAGGAAGAAAAGAAAAGCTTGGCCTGCTGCAGCGCCTCGACTTACATGGTTGATTTTTTTTTTAAAAAAAAAGAAAAAAAGAAAAAAAAAGTGTCTGTCATCGACTTCGCGACGAACACGGTGGTTGGAGAACCCCTTATTGCATGGGGTGACTGGCCCACGAGAGAATCCCACTGGGGCAGTTAGTAACAACCCCGCCACACCGGTGATATGGTCACCGGACCTCGAGAAGTCGAGAAGCTTTCGAACTAAGTCATGTCGCGCCGAGTTTCATGTGACCATCCCCGACGGGTTGGCGTCTGACTGCGACGAGGCCGGAAAGTGGGTGGGGTTGACTCGTCTAGGGTGGATGGTTGATTTTCCGACAGGAAAAGGAGTGTGGATCAAGTTGATGTTCAGTTGGTTTACGATGTTCATAATAATGACATGTCTTGGGGGGAAATACATGTCAACGTCTGAACTTCGTCTGGTGTTTGCTTCGTAACAACAATCCGAGGGCCAATCGCTGGAGTTTTGGCGAGAAATAGAGTTCGACTAATGTGTGCTAATGTGTCCGCGTTGTGTCCGAACATCGAAAACCGGGCGGCTTCCCCGGATTTCTGTTGCTGTTGGAAGAGTTCCTCGAAGAACTTCGTGGATGATGGACGTGTGAGACGGAAAAGCGTGTGGGAATCGGCTGGACCGATTTTATGGGACCTTCTCCATAATTATCCGCAGCACTGTTATGTACGTAATCAAGGGACCACGAGACATAACGCCCGAACCTGACTAAGGCTTGCCACGGACCTCGGTAAAAATCGGAAAACGGCCATGGGGGTCTTGAGCTTGTGGGCGGCGTCTGCATCGCCAAAAACATCCATCGAAGTCCACCAGTCCACCAGTCCACCACCAACGTTCCACCGAAATACCCAACTTTCCCGCTCTTCTCGACACCCCAATCGCCCCAAATGATACCATCATAATTGTCGTCGATACCGTCTTTTTCGTTCTTTATTTTCAATCGGCCAATGAATGACCCTCGCCGGCACGAGTAAGTGCCCAGGTCTCCAGGTCCCAGTCCACTGCGGCCCGCCGCAACAAGAACGCTTGACAGCTCAAGATGGAGTTCGTAACCGCCCTACGGGGCTCCATCGACGACCAGAAGCCCTCCCTCTTTGAGCTTCTTTCCGAACAACAGCTCAACTCCCTCCTCCCCCCGACCATCCGATATCTTCTTACCATCGCCACCCAGCGCTACCCCCGCTACCTCCTCCGGGTCCTCAACTCGTTCGATGAGCTCTACGCCCTCCTCATGCTCCTGGTGGAGCGCCACTACCTCCGAACCCGCGGCGGCTCCTTCACGGAAAACTTCTACGGCCTCAAACGCGAAAAGGCGCTCCACGCCGAGATCCCGCGAGCGTCGACCCATGCGCCCGCCATCGTCCGCGACGCACTGCGCCTGCGGTCGCGCGACGTGTGGAAGAACCTGGCCGTCATGGTGGTCCTCCCCTACCTGAAGCGGAAACTAGACGAGGGCTACGAGGTGAACGCCCCCCGCGCCCTCCTCGGCGCCGCCTACACCCGCATGCCCGACAACCCGACCGTCAAGCAGCGCCTGCTCCACTACTACCGCTGCTTCCTCACCAAGATATACCCCAGCGTCAATGCCGGCTACTACTTCGCCCTGCTGGCTTTCAACCTCGCCTACCTCTTCGACAACGCCAAGTCCCACGACCCTTTCCTGTGGCTCATTGGCACGAGGGTGCGACGCATGACGGCCGAGGATTACCGCGCCATCGAAGCCCTCACGGCCAAGTCCGGTGGTCGCAAGGGACCCGCCGCCGCCCCGGGCTTCCGCTCCCTCCTCTCCCCGAAGGAGCTGGGCCCGCGCATGCTGTCCAGCCTTTCGATGCTGCTACCGCTGAGCATCTTCGCGCTCAAGTTCCTCGAGTGGTGGCACGCGTCCGACTTTGCCAAGCAGCTCTCTCGGAAGGCGGCCGATGCCATCGATTTACCGCCGCCCATCGTCACGGGGTTGGAGAGGAAGAAGAAGAAGAAGGAGGAGGAGGAGGAGGGTGGCTCCGGCGGCGCGTCTGCTGCTGGCGAGAAAAAGGGCGAACAGGCGGCCACCGACGCCGAGGGAGACGAAAGCAAGGAAGGTCTTTTGACCGATGCCGAAACCGCGCCCATGGCTACTTCATCCCTGCTCCCGATCCTCACTGTCTCTGCCCCGGAGGATACGAAACTGTGTCCCATATGCGCCGGCGACATCGTCACCCCGACGGCGTGCCAGACCGGCACCGTCTACTGCTACTCGTGCATCCACCGGTGGTTGGAGGGGACGCATCCGAAGCAGGAGGCTTTCATGATGGATAAGGAGGGCAAGTGGGAGAGTGGGATGGGCCGGTGCGCCGTCACTGGCAGACGCGTCTTGGGAGGCACCGAAGGTCTCCGCCGCATCATGGTGTAAAAGAGCTAGGAACGAGGCATTCGGTATATTATGGGACGACGAGCTTAACAATTGATTCTGCATGCCGCGGAAGTATTTAGAGAGCCTTTTTGTATGTATATATATTTTTTCTTTTCCTTTTTTTTCTTTTCTTTTTCCCTTTTTTACGCTTTATTTTGGGGTGTACTGGTGTACAAGAAGGGATGGAAGAGAGCATGTGGGACTGAGCGTGGCATGGCACGTGGATTGGCGTTGACGGTATTAGGTGTTGGGGTTTTTTGGTATGTCTCACTTTTTAATGTTGTCTCACTTTTCAACATACCCGCCCCTTTTCCCCCCTTGAACCAAAAACGAGCATGCGAAAACTAATAGACAACTCGGCCGAGCCGCCATTGGAATTCCATTTCTATAATTTGACTTTGAACCAGCTTTTTTCTTTCTTTCTGTTTTCACTTCTACCTTGGTTTTCGACACGATTCTGTCCGTTTCGCGTAAAGTCGAGAATCCCGCGATGCCTATTTTCTCCACTAAAATAGGAGACCCTCATTTTTGCTTTAAACCCGACGAGACGGTTGGGACCGCGGGGTACGCGATACCCCCCGCGAGAATGTGACGAAGACGGGGAAGGGTCGGGAGCTTGTCACTAAGCGTGGGCTCCTTATGGGGAAGTTATGGGGAGGCACGCGACAACCCCTGACTCGCGGTAGAGGATCACCACCAAGAGCCTGGACGCTACGAAGTTCGTGACCGCGACGCTGTGGCAAAAGAAGTTATATAAGTAAAGTGAGGCCTTCTTGTCCCCCCCTCTACTGCCATCCATCCCATCGCTAGCCTTGAGCTTTATCCATATCATAGATGGTCTCTATCTGCTACCCGGATTTTTGGGTAATGCCAGCGCCATTGTCATCTCATAAGACTCGCCCATTATTCACATCATTATCATGGCGTATAGTCTCTCACAGTCATATTGCGGCGATAACTTCGCCTCACAATTCAACTGGTTCAACGGCGTAGACCCATCTCGTGGGTTCGTCAGGTAAGCAAAGCCTTCGTCCATTGATTGCACTTACACTGAGAGCCAGGATCACCGTGCTGACCCCTATATCAAAGGTACCAGAGTGAACCTGATGCGCTCGCCAAGGGCCTGTATTCAGTAGACCCAGACACACAAGTTGTCACTATAAGAGTGGACAGCACCAATACCTACCCCCTCGATGGTGGCCGGCCCAGCGTGCGGCTTGAGAGCAAGCAGGCTTATAATGGCGGCCTTTTCATCGGCGACTTCTCTCACATGCCACCGTCGGATTGCGGTCTATGGCCAGCTTGTAAGTATACCATTTCACCCAAGTCCTGAACATTCTCACCATCTTTCCAATGCTGACTTGAACCCTTTACCGTAGTTTGGTTGTATGGCCCTGACTGGCCGGCCAATGGTGAAGTCGACATTATCGAAGGAGTCAACACGGCGACGAGGAACCTCCTGACGGCACATACGTGAGTAGCTCACCATTTCCCTTCTCTTCCCCCTTTTCGTGACAAGACCCATTCTAACCCGTCCTTTTCAGGGCCCCCGGCTGCATGCTCCCCCAGGACGTGAAGAACATGGTTACAGGAGATCCCATCTCCTATAACTGCGCCAGTGGGGTAAGTTGTTATTCTTCACCCTCTACCCGCAGTGAACCCCTATTCTCTCCATACCACTTGAGAATGACCGTATGCTCACATGTAGTCCTTCACAACAGGCCTACAACGCGACCGGCTGCAGCTACTTTGCAACTTACAGCGACAAAGCGACCTACGGCGACGGCTTCAACGCCGTAGGAGGCGGCGTCTACGCCATGGACTGGACCCCCGAAGACATTCGCATCTGGCACTGGCCCAGACATTCCGTCCCACGCGACATCATCGAGAAGAGACCCGACCCGAACTCGTGGGGTCGTCCGATGGCGCTGTTCGGGGCATATTCGTGTGAGCCAGGCCGGTACTTCCGCGACATGAACCTCATCCTGCAGACCAATTTCTGCGGCGACTATGCCGCTGGCGTCTGGAGCTCGGACGGCGCTTGCACGAAGCTCGCGCCCACTTGTGCCGAGTACGTTGCGAACAATCCGTGGGCTTTTGGTAATGCGTAGGTGGCCCCAATCCTCTTGCTTTTACCCTGCCCCC